AATTGCGAATGTTTATGGGCAGCGGTCGCTTTCCATTTCGGTGGATTCAGGTGGCCGCTTGCTCGTTTGCCACCTTATATTATAAAAAAAAACTGAAACTAAACTATCGCACAACTGTTTAGTCACGATTTGATTTGTAGGAGCTTATATGCGTACACTACTTGATTAACTACGCAACTGTAATAAGCTGCGAAACAATTGAGAATCGCACAACAGTTGTGCGATTGCTTAAACAAAGGTATACACCCGCTCTAAGATATTAAAAATCAATTATATTCAATACAATAATTGTTTATTTATTTTGTAGTTGTCTAAACTTTAAAGAGTTCATTGCACTGTTAATAAAAAAATCTTGTTTTATTCGAAATAAAGGATTATAAAATGTTTATTACCAAACCCAATGTATGATAAGAATCTCTTTTGTTATATTTCGCAAAATTGAAATAATTACTCAGTAAATATAAATGTTAACTGTTATGACTTTATCGCAGATGCACAAGAAAATATTTTTTAATAATATGATTTTATTATTTAATCATATAATATTGAGTCATTATTACAATAAAATAATACAATTGATATCTTTATGACATTTAAAAGAATTCCAGGAACTAAATGAAAAGAGAGTTTAAAAAACACTAAGGGCCTGTCCCACCACTAGCTGATAGAAGCTCAGATAGCTTAAAAATGACGTCACTATCAGATAATTAACAAAATCCGATATTTGCATCCCATATATTACATGTTGGGTTGTTATCAGATAATTTACAATTTGGTGGGACAGGCCCTAAGAAAAATTAAGTATGTTGAGTGTCCCACTTTCAGTCTTAATAGATGCCAGGTGACCATAGGTCAAGATTTTTCACACTACATAAAAAGCAAGACAGACTACTTAACGACTCCAAATAACATTAAGATGGTATCTATTATTTTCAAGTATTAAATTAGATGACGGTTTTGTTGACTTATTACTTTAGGCACTGAACTAGCGTGGTTGAAACCTAAATACTGTAACTTAGATAGGTTCTAAGCCCAAGATAAGTGTAAATATACATTTACTTATCTTTATATAGAAGTTGCGACGAATTGACTAATTTTCAAAACATCTTTATTCATTTTGAAATTCAATTTAGAATTGTTCCAATTAACAAGATTTAAACCTGTATAAAGTAATTGTAGAACATAAATTATCGTCGAAAGATATTAAAACGTTATCAAAATTTATTTTTATTGTTAAAACACAAAAAACGAATAAAGTTAAAATTTTAATTTATACTTGAGGTTTAAATAATATTTAGTTTTAAGTCGTAATCCTTGATAATTTAGAATACCTTTATTACTATATATTTATAGTTGGAACAATACTTCACCGCATACTAGTGATCCGCCGTAGGTTCGGCTGCTTTTCTGTCATGTCCATACCCTCACCGTAGGAATAAAATATAACTTATGTTACTCGGAGAAAACCCACTCAATGGAAACAAACAAATGTAAAGATGTGAATCTTTCCTTTATGTATAATACTAGCGTTCGCCCGCGATGGTCCGCGTGGAATTAAAAAAAAAACAAAAGTGAGTAGCCTATGTATTCAGATATCGGTTTAGCCGTTTAGCCTACAAACTCTAACAAACATCCATCTAAACTTTCGCATTTATAATATTAATTTGATTACTATATATTACAATAATCTATAATAATACGTTGATTACATATAATAGAAATAATAGTGTGTTTAACAAACAGTTTTCTAGTTATTTAGAGGTTAGTAGTTTTGTTAGTTCTATCATAACTTTGCAGATGAGCGCACGGTTTTTTTACGACACGTGTGGCCATTAAAGTGATTGATTTGATTATCTTAGTACGTCATAGTGACTTTAGAATTAACATGTTACGTGTATTTAACAGTGTACTATGTAAGAATGACCCAGTAATTTCTCCAATTCATAAACGGGTGCTTTCCAACCAGAACCATTGGAATTTCTAAACACTACTTCGCGATGAAATCAACGCCCTGTTTGCAAGGGTACGCATTACGGAATGCAATGAGAAATTTGTTATAAGATGTTTTTCTTACCTAAGGGATAATGATTTTCATTAAAATATTCCAGTTTGCGTAATTCGGTAAGTTTATTTGTTTAATAGACAATAGAGTGGTTTAAAGTGCACGGCGCTATCTCAAAAAGAAGATCGTTTTGTAATTCCCGTAAAATATAGAGCACAAAATGTTGCAAATTGTAAAAACCAGATTTTTATGCACCTACGCTAATAAATTAACTTAGATTTATAGATTGGACAATCAAAATACGTTCCTTTATGTAACATTTTTGAAAATTTGGACACATCAAACATTTAGACAGTACAATTTGATTATTTTGATATTTCATCATTTTAACTTATAAAAAAATTGTTACTTGTATATTTTGATCTATAAAATACATTAATAAAAGCTATTTTTTTTATAATATCAGATACAATTTTACAATACTATCGTCCAAAACATAACTGCGAGTTTAAATCTACGATAACAATCCAATAATAAATCAAACGGAGATCTCCAAAAAAAAAAAACTATTAATTTGGAAGATAATAACAATTATCTAGTTTTATATAAAATTGCCAAATATTTCTCGGAATAGTGATAAGTAAAACCCATCTAAATATTTCTTATCTCTACAATAATTTCTTTGGTGTTTGCCTGTTGGGGAGATGGCGGTAAGGTTTTATATAGTCGGGGGTAAGTCGCTGGAAGTTAGTCTAAACCGAACTGCCGCAGTGAACATTGACGGCACTAGTACACCGTACGTAATCAGTTATTAACAACAAATTATTTAGGATTACAACCATTTTATTGTGCGTTTACAAATTCAACAGTTTACTATAGTTTGTTTTGGTTTGAGAAAAGAGAGTGATTTTTCAGAGATATAAAATTTGACGTATAAACTAACATCATCATCATCAGAAATATACATTAATATATTTTTCTATAAATTCATAAACAATCATTAAAATTAACACAAAAAAATAGAAGTTTAAACTGTGATTAGACATCAGTGCGTTTTAAATTTTAAATTACAAAATGTTATAAAATCGGGTTGTAATTTCAAAAGTAACTTCCCTTCAAGTACATATCGAAAAAGATATTAACTTAATCTATGTTGCATATTATTTGTCGCGAAGGCCCGTGTTTACTGTGACATACATTTTATAATGACAGCTAGTTCGTACCAACGTTGCAGTAATTAAGTGCGCTAACTTCTAGACTTGATTTATGGCCTAACTCGGAAGTATAGGTATCAAAATCTAGATTAGCAACACTTTATTACCAATAAATTTTCTAATGTAACGATACTGTCATAAACACTTTATTACTATTTGTTTAAGAATAGACAAATTTGTTTGATTGTTTTTGAATTCAATTTTCTTAATTTGAAGAATCTTGTATTTGTGTACAGCAATATTTTTTTGCGTGAAAAAACTCGTCTTTTATAATAGGTATTTGATATCACGGTTCAAGTTTTCCTTATTGTATAAAATGGATATTTTAGACGTTAAAAATTATAGGCTGTGGAATACGTTTAACTTTTATTTAAATAAATAAATTCTGTCATGACGAGTTCATTTCAAATTTAAGTATAGAAACAATGTAATCAATTTAAAAAAAAGTTTAGTTGTTTCTAACTATTCCTAGAAATGCGTTCGCCATAAAGTTTATAGAGCAATTAGATAAATAAATAGCTGGTGTTTATGCTGTGTTGGGTTCGATGTTATTTTGACTAAAAATGTTTTAGGATTCGCAACAATTTTTTTAAAAGATGGGTTAAGTGTGCTTTCTAGAAGTATTCCAAAGTTACTTATAAAACTACGCGATGTATAATGTAGATATAAACGATTATATCGATCGAATTATCCAATAAACTAGTAACTGATAAAATTCAACTACACTTTTTTAACTTAAATCAGATCACAGGAAAATCGTAATCCAAATTAGTAACCAAACAGTTGATTTTTTTGCATTAACTTACCATATTTAACTTAAATAATAACCAAAAAAGGGTAAAAGGATTGCATAGATCGAGGATATCTAAATTCGATTAGTTTCTTTTAAGCCGACCTTCGATTGTCCTATTTTGTATAAACGTTGTAATATTTAACATTTACTATTCGAATTCAGTTAAATTGCTCTCTTTATTTCAAAAGGCATTCCGAGTATTTTAATAAGACAATTTTTGAAAACAATGGAATTCTTAAGATCGCTAACAATTACATTTTCGTGTCCTAGATTCAAAAATGCTGACGAAACTTCTGTGCCTGGGTCTGGTGGCCTATGCGTCCGCGGCTGTTAAGCTACAGGAGGTGTTTTCTTGGAATGCGATGGATTGGAATTACCCTAATGAACTTCAGAGACAAGAAGCTATTTTATCGGGTGCTTTGATACGAGAGAACGCCCTTCCAGTGGGTATTGAGCGATGGAGGAATAAGTTATTCGTCAGTGTACCACGTTGGCGACCTGGTATGTCTATAGGGTGTTTTATTATTCAGATTTTTTTCTTTTTTACTATCGTACTGTTTATTGCACTTAAATTTTGGTAAATTTTGAAACATAAAAGTTAATCGTGAATACACACCTCAGAGATATATTTCTTTCATTACAAAAATCAGGTTTCTTAATAGCCTTATCAAGGTTTTAATTTTGGGAACACATTTTTTTATTGATTTTTTTTATTAAACTGATAATATCAGCCTTTTAAGATAATAAAATAGATAGTTAAATGGCATACGTAATAATTAGTTTATACGTATTATTTTTTTTTTCTTCAAGAATGGTAAACCCACGTTTTATTTCTTTCTCTTATCATAATCAGGAATAACCAAAGTTTTAATTAAAGTTAAATTTTAATTCAACTTTTGACTTTAAACTGCCTCAAATTAATTAATTAAAATGTCTTAAAAATCAATGTGAAATATTTTAACATCTTATAAAATAAATTATCATTAAATTAAAACGAGAAAAATGTTTCCATCAACCGGTTTAAATATCTTTAACTATTAAAAAAATACTTATTCAATTATTGTAAAAAAATTAACGGTTTTAATAATAACTTGGATATTTTTTAATGGATAGGTAACAATAACTGACACTGATATAATATTGTATTGAAAAAAAAGTTAAATTTAAGCTAATAGTTTTGAAAAATATTTCACATTCGATATCAGGTATTCTGGCAGCTTTATCGCTTTCGTTTCGAAAAAATGGTGCCTCTAGAAAGAGAAAGTATCCAGCAAACCATAAATTTAAATTGAAATGTGGGTGGATAACAAGACTTCCGATTACAAAATACTTTTTGAATGGTCGACATTTTGATCGTTAGTTCCCACTGCCGAAACGAATACACAAAAACATATTCTTATCTCAGTTTTATCAACGAGAGGGAGAAGGACAACAATATGTTCTCATACAAGTTTCTTAGCAGTTTAAACATACATTGATTCAACGTATTTTCTATTTTTCATAGATTATAAATGCGGAAGTTTAGATGGATGGATTGATGATAGATGTAAGAGTTACAGCCTAAACTGCTAAACGGATCTCAAAGAAAATTGTCATAAATGTAGAGGATAGTTTGAAAGAACACATAGGCCACTTACTTTCGTTTTTTTTTTTTAATTCCACGCAAACAGAGTCGCGGGCGAAAGCTAGTAGATAATGATTTATCAATATTTCAATGTTCAATTATTGATTTAGATTTATTTGTATATTTAATATTTGAAAATGAAAACATTCAAATGCCAATCCGCTGACAAGATTTTTGAACCGGAAGACGTAATTACAATGTAAATGTTCACAATTAAGAAAATATTTAAAAACAAACAGCAATAAACATTCTGTTGTAATACAAAAATTACACATGTTTGTATCACCGATAATATAGTCCTTACTGTTATTCAAAACAAATTAAAAAGGTAAAATATCGTTTTGCCTTTCGTTTTTAATGTCATTTTAACTTGATTTTCTACCATGGATGCGTAGGCATTGGGTTAGTTCTCCAGTTCCTATGTTCAACAGTGGGTAGAATAAGGCTGTTAATGATAATGATGATGATGATGATAATGATGATGACGATGATGATGATGATAATAATGATGATGATGATGATGACAATGATGCGATAGTTCGGTGTCAGAACTATTTTCGCACATATTCAATTTTGATTTTGATGTATTTCAATTTTGAACGGTTTTATTACGTTATCGCGGATTAGTTACGACATAAAAATGTGTGCCTACTTACGCAATAATTTTTTCGTAGATGTGTTACGAAATTAAAAAATAATTACCATATTAAAGAACCAAATAATGTAATAAATGGAATTAAATTATTCGGTGGAGATCATATGACGATAACATCATTGGTAGTCCCTGAGATTTAGGGCCTGTCCCACCAAATTGTAAATTTTCTGATAACAATCGAACGTGTAAAATATGTCATGAGAATGTGGGGTTTTATTACCATATCTGACTGTGACGTCATTTTTAAGCTATCTGAGCCTCTATCAGCCAGTGGTGAGACAGGTGCTAAGGGCCCTAATAGTCACTTGAACCAAGTGAATTGCTAATAATTGCCTAGAAAGAATGACATCCATTTTGCAAAAGTTGTAATAAAGGTTATTTTTCCTGCAATTCATCAAAAAATGTTTATCAAAATTGCACAAGAATTAGGCATTGAAATTATTTTTCTTTGTTATTAATGTTTTAATATTGTTTTCGACGTAATCTCGCATAATGGTCCATTGTATAGAATTTAAAAAAAAACTTTCAAAAACTCAGAGGATCTTGCTATAAAAAAATAGACAATTTAAAAAAAATAATTTAAACATACTCCAAACCTTTTATGCCGTGACACTAGCGATCGGCGCGGATTTTTCGAAATCATGGCTATTGAAACATTACTATGCGTACTTTTGCGAAATGCAATCTCGGTCAATCTTACTAATATCATAAATGCGAATGTTTAGATGGATGTTTGTTAGAGTTTGTAGCCTAAACAGTTGGACGGATCTCGATGATTTGGCATACACGTAGAGGATAGTCTGGAAGAAAGTATAGGCTACTCACTTTTGATTTTTTTTAATTCCACGCGGACGGAGTCGCGGTGAAAGCTAGTAAATAATAAAGTACTTATACTGAAAGCACTGTGGTAATACAAATTTATAATGAAACATAATCATTCACAATATCAATCAGCCAAAGAGTTAAAACGCGTGTTTAACTAAACAGTGTCTAATTTTTTTTGGTAATCACAGTTTGGAATTAACTCGCTTGTGTAACCGTAACTTTACACCACTGTAACTTTTTAAAAACAGTAACTCATTAGGGAAACTGGTTACCGAGTTTAACTGTAAGAAAATCGGATAATTCGACGTTTACATAGTCTTAAGTTAAAAACTCGCGCCTGTAACCGTTACTTTACTTCACTATAAGTTTTTCATTAGGAAAACTGATATAAACATTGTTATGCCACGCCCTATTTGTGCGTATAAATCAAACCAGTTGCGAGATACTGACTTTCCGATGCACGTAATTAGTGCATAAGTACAAACATTTTATATTACGCGTGATGAAACATTGGTAAGTTGTTTTAGAAATCACGATATTGAAATTATAACGGCAACCCTATTCAGTCAATTACGTAACTCTTTAACATAACAATATTAACGTAAGGTGTGATGAGTTACGCTTCAGATTTTTTGCTCTCGCGATATAACGAAGGTAGGCTCGCGTAACCCTATGCAATCTATCAAAGACTAGTATGTGTTAAGTTTTACAACTAGTTTCGGACAATTTCGTATTGATACCAAAGATGACCATGTCCGTTCCATCGTGCACCTAAACCTCGAAAAGAAGATTAACAAACCTAGTTAATTATCAGTCGTAAAATACGTCCACAGAGTCAACAAGGCCGAAAAAATTGTATACATCAATTGTTATGATTTTTTAATATCTTAGCGGCCTAGGGTTATCGGCACGCTGTACAATTCTTTCCCCTCGCGTCCCGCTACGCACTGCTACATAATATATTGTTGATTCATCATCTCCCCTACCTTATCTTACTCCCGTTTCCAGATGACGTTACCCGTCATCTCATCATTATTGATAACTGTTTAAATTATAGTAAGACACTGTTTAGTTAAACCTGCGTTTTAACTCTTAGACCGCCGCTGAATTATATAAAGATCGTCAACGTGGATATATATTTCACTATAAATATGTAATCCCACACTGACGTGTGCTGACACACCTGGACTTTAGAGCTGCTAAGATATATGAACTATAATACTCGGTGTAAACCAACATCGAGTACGTTTAGTAACAATATTTAAAATTCTATCCCATATGACCGTATATTGTTAGACTGGTTTTAAATATTACTTGCTTTCTTTTGGAAACAGTATGATTAATTAGCATACCTAAATAATTATTTAAAAGTGATAAATTAAAAATTCAAAAATTTACTTTCACTCATATTCACGATCGTTCATGTGATTTTTTGTGATAAAATATATAGAATAATAGCTGTTGCTCGCTACTTATGAATAAAAATAACACAAAATATAGCCTATGTTAGTCACACATAAATAACCTTTCTAATAGTGAAAGAATTTTTATAATCACACCAGTAGTTTTTGCGTGTATCAAATACATGCAAAAATCGAAAAATCCAAATATTTCCTCTTTATAATATTAAGTATAGTAGTATAATTTGTAATATATGCCGTGACAAAGAATAGTTAAGATATTGCACTATCAAGTTTTATTAAAAATCTTAGATAAACCTTGATGGTTTGAAAATTAAAAGCTATTTAAAAGCGGAAGCAGGCGGTGCAGACTGTGTGCGGTCCATTTCCCTCCAAAATTTGTATTCAAACTAACTACTTTTAAAATTCAAATCAAATTGCTATAAAGATAAACAATTCCTTTTAAATACGATGACATTAATTATTTCCACACGTTATGTGTCTACTTTTTCATTTCGAGACCTAACATTGCGGATATTTTGTAGCTTAATTAAAGTAGAAATTTAATAGAAAATGAACTGGTTTTTTTTTCAAAATCTTAGTAGTTTGTTGACGATTTAATAATATTTCTTTTAACCGCTCCAGGTAAGCTTGAAAACGTTTATATTAGAATGTGGTTCACAATAGTCGAATTGCTGGATTCGAACCCTCGACCTCAAGATCGGTAATCTGTACCCCAGACAATTAGGCTATTGCCTCTTAATATTCGGCGCACTGTAGAATCTATATTCGTCCCATTTTTAGTTTTCATATATAATTTTCAAGGCAAATCTCTGAATTATTTCAATGAAGTAGCTCAAAGTAAACATGATTGCACCTGAGTTAATACTATGAATAAACAGAACTAAAAGCAATAAAATATTTAACACTTTAGCAACCCGGTGCTAACAATATTCTACCGTGTCTCAATAAATTATTACAGCCACGGAAAAAGACTATTAATAACAAAACATACAACTATAAGTTGAAATCATGATCAGTTTCACGCGCGAGAAATAATTTTTGACTACAAAATAATAATTTGAATACAACATATTTTTGACATAATTTACTAACACCTTTTATTCTACCGTGACTTATAAATAAAACATAATCAAAATATCATTTTGTTTGTAAATAACAAAGAATCAATGTTCCGGGAATTCAAGTTAAATTCGTTATGAATTACTTTCTCCAACATATTGTACAAGAATAAAGATATATAACAGAGAATAATAACAGAAACAAGAATAATAACAGAAATTATAAAGATGCTTAAATCCTAGTTAATAATTAGTATTCACTTGTTTCAGGCATTCCTGCAACTTTGAACTACATACCACTCGACGCACCTCATGAAGCTTCGCCTAGGCTAACACCTTACCCCAGTTTCGAAGAGAACGAAGTAGGCAATTGTGACACCGGCCTCACCACAGTTTACCGAGTTAAAGCCGATAGATGCGACCGACTCTGGGTATTAGACGTCGGAACTTATGGATATGGTGAGAATACATTCGATTTACTCTTTGCTTTTTATTTTCATCAACTTTATAACGTTGTACATTCTTTATTGGTGTAATATTTTTCCATTTCTCTTTTCAGATCCTAATGTGACCAACGCGTGTCCCTACTCACTGAACGTCTACGATCTCCATACGAATACCCGCATTAGGAAATATGTTTTCCGTCCAGAGGACATCGTCGCTTCGACTTTTATCGCTAACATCGCTCTCGACGAAGGAGCAACTTGTGAAGATACCTTCGCGTATTTCTCTGATGAGTTAGGATACGGCCTCATTGTTTATTCTTGGGAACAGAACAAATCCTGGAGATTTAGCCACAGCTACTTTATGCCTGACCCATTGGTTGGTGATTTCAACATAGCTGGTCTTAATTTCCAATGGGGCGCGGAGGGTATCTTCGGTATCACCGCTTCACCTCCTGGGGCAGACGGTTATAGAACCCTTTACTTCAGCCCGTTGTCGAGTCATACAGAGTTTTCTGTCTCAACCCGTATTCTTAGAGATGAATCTATGGTAAAAGCAGCATCGTTCCATGATTTCAAAGTGGTAGGAAACAGGGGACCAAATGGGCATACCACTTCTAAGGTAATGGACGACACGGGTGTGCAATTATACAATTTGATCGATCAAAATGCTATTGGTTGCTGGAGCTCGTCCTTACCTTTGAAACCAGAGAATACTGCCATAGCAGATAAAGATGATGTAGGTCTCGTCTTCCCCTGTGATGTTAAAATAGACGACGACAAAAACGTTTGGGTGCTTTCTGATCGTATGCCGGTATTTTTGGAATCTGAATTGGACTACAGTGATATTAATTTCAAAATCTTTACCTCCCCCCTTCGTAACATGATTGAAGGTACTGTATGTGAACCACCTTCGTTTACTATTTCCACACCTCTACCTACGCCAACACTAGCTCCATCTCTTCCGCAAACTCCGTTATACGGCCTCTCATTGAATTATCATTCCCACCGACCGTACTACCCTTCGTATTCTTTAAGTGGTCAACGTATTAGATCTTTTAGCCCAACAGAACATGAATCATTCGACGATAAACGTTTTGCTGATTTACCTCGTGCGACGTACCCGCTCACTGCTACCACACCGAACACAAATGATCCATTCACCTTTGACAGATCGCCATGGTGGATCAGATCTACTGCCCAAGGACGCGTTCACGGTCGTCAATATTAAAACATTACATAGCATAATTGTATGGTAATATATTGAAAAATATAATTTTACACATGCATGTAACTTTTTACATTTAGTACATACGCTATGAAGTTAATTAGTACTAAACTTTATTAGGAAACGTATACTATTAATATGTAGTGTTATTATTTTTTCTATGGTAGTTTATTATTCCTTTTTGACATGTCGATATTTTTCTTGTGTATATGAGGACGTGTAAACGTTATGTATAAGTGTGAACGTGTATGAATGAAAGAGTTGGATGTGAGCGTAGATGATTTGGGAAAATGTGTGTGTTTATTAGCAAATGTATGCGTGTTTGTGTGTGTGGTTAAATTTTCATTTATAAATGTAATTGCGTGTGATCTTTAATGCGAGCATATGTTTTGTAAAAACTTTTAATGGTTGTATTTTTTATTTTCATGACCGTTTTGATACATTTTAAAAATACGTATACTAAAACATAATAATTATTTGCCTATTTACGATTCTATTAAACATACGAATACTTGTAAGAATTAATTGTTGTTAATTTTTGTTATACTTTTTTTCTTTTCTAATAAAACTGTTCAAATAATGTGACTTATTTATTAAAACCCTTTAACCAGATAAGTTTCTTCCACACATAATTTATAATTAGGATTTTTTATTTAATACGAAATTAACAAAGTAAAACAAAAGCAATCTATATAAAGTGTACATTTGAATTAAATATTTACTTTTTTAATAACTAGGTTCACATAACTGTAAAATGTGGAATGATAAAGCATTTTTTATTTACAACAAAATCGCCTTAAAATAAAATAAAAACAGGATATGTAACTAAGATACATTTCTGTTATTCACATTAAATAAAAATAATATACACCGAAATTATTACACATAAGTCACACGTAGTTGTGAGGTATGAACAAGTTATAGCATTCCACACCAATACACGATTTCGTTGATTACATTTGTCAACATAATTATCTTGAAATGGACACTTCGAATCTGTCAATTCATCGTGAAGCCATCAATCAACATTAATACGAAGTTCAATTAATTGAACACGAAACGTAATAGTTCAACAAACTTATCTGGCCAGGTAAAGTAATTGGTATCGCACTATTATCGCAGTTTGTCTACAAAGTTTTGTAGTAAACAGTAGACACCGAGATCAATGTTCATTTTAAAATTATTGTTCTACCACGATGTTCAACTAATAAATAGGTTTCAACAAAGAATAGGTTATTTGAAACATTGTAAATAAATAAATTGTTGTGGTTTCTTTTATGTTAGGTTTTATTAATGTCAATTTTATTTTATTTACAAAGTTGTTTAGTAGTAATATATTTATAGTAGTTTAGAGATTTATTATTATCCTTTTAAAAGACCCAGGGCGTTTACATTGGTGAATTTTGAAAACATGCAAAATTAAAAAAAAAATTGTAGACTTTAATTCTATTTTTGTCTGTTTTTTACGCTATTTCATTCTACATTCATTTAAACTCGGAATGTGCGTACGTGATTACTAATTAAGAATTTCATTGGTTATGAAATTATGATTTTAACTACTCACAGAAGTAGTAAAAACGTCAACATACTAGGTTGTTTTTCCATTGCTTTAAAATCCGTAAAAAAAACTATCGGTATGTCTAAAGTGGAACGGCAATCTTTTTAAACCAAGAATTACATCATAGGCATTGATAGAATAATTTACCTTATATTTTAAAAAGACTTTTAAACCAAGATTACAAACATTGTCCATAGGAATTTTTATATTAAAATGTTACCTGTTTATAGAACAAAATTTAGTTTATTCTCTAATATATCGCATGTTAAGATAAAGGCCTCATGTAACGCTAATACCCTCATGATTGAGATTGTTTGCGTTATAACAAAGCGGCATTCCGAAGCAAATAACACTTGAGCGTGATTTTCTTATCAGTTTTATCTTAATACCTTAAGTTATATAAATTGTCGTTATAATTTTCTCGCGGAAGGCTACCTTGGAGGTATGACCGTAAAGCGACAAACGTCTTGAAGTAAATTATATACATCCACTTAAAATTCTGACGTTCAACGCAGATGACTCCAAGTAAATACTGTATTGCGAATTGCGGTGACAGGTAGACGTTAATTTTGTTACCTTCATTCGGTTCTCTAAGGATTACGATTTAAAATGTGTGACAATAAAACAGATGATATAAAACCGGATTACAATCCATTCGAACATCGGAAAGTGGAAAAACCAAGTTCGTAAGTGTTGATGTTTTTTTATTATTTATTGATTTATAGCATTTTGAGTACAATATTTCCTCAGGTACATTAGGCTATTTGCAAAAAATATTAAATGAAATTTATTATTGACAAAATTTTCGAAAGGTATTCTATATATTGTATTATTCTGCTGCCATGAATACAAGCCTTTTAGTTTCTAAATAAATAGAAACAAAAATCCCCTTTACCTAAGTAAGATTAAAAAAAAATAAATAAATAAATAGAAAACATATGTTTTTAACAAATACTTAATAAAATATACTTATTTGTTGCGAAATTCTAAACGTAACTGAATGTGCTGATAAAATTAGTCTAAAAACAGGTCTTAGCAATTACGTTTTATAGTTATAAAAGTGTCGCGATAAGCAAATAGTTTGGGCAATATATCAAGTGAGAAAAAAACTTAAAACTACATCTCATTTAATCCCTGGCGTAAATATAATTTACGATTAAACAATAAAGCCAGCGATACGTATGCATTATTTTACTTTTATTGACGAGAAAAATCTTACATATTAAGATTTTTCTTTATACGTCTCAGGCGTATTTAATGAAACGTCCTTGAGACAACTTGTTTTCCTTTCTCTAAGAGTATATAATTAAATTATAGATTGTAGACTTTGTAGGTACTGCAGTTCCAGTATTGCTCTTTTTGATGATCACTTAACAGGAGACATAAATCTGATACATTATTCTATAATAATAAATCCGTTGTAATAATAAACGTATCAAGAAAATTTTTAATAGTATTTTTCATAATAAGACTGTTTAAAAAAAATAAGTTGGCATCCATTTGAATAAAAATTCAATCAAAATTTAATAATTCATGGAAAAACGCATAATTCGTTTCCCACGTTAATAATACAATTACGCATCATATTTATAAAAATAAACGTATAAAGACGACAAAGAATTCAATCTGATATCGTATCTCGAAATTTTTAGAGTAATTTGATATACAACGTGCTCAATTATTCATTATTTACAAAACAAAAAACGACCTTCACGTACATTGTAATTATTGCAAGCAAGATTGTTTAAAACAGGTATTTTCATTAACATCCTTGAGCTTAAATATTACGCAATACGTACAAAACCGCACTGGACCAGCGTGGTCAACTATGACCTAGTCACACAAACTGGCGTAAGATCCTTGCCCCTCAGTGGGGAGATATAAGCTGACGTATTCAATATATTCGAATATCCAACTGACTTAAAATTATATTAGTAATATTAGATGTAATTTTGTGAATGGTGCCCAAAGTATCTGATCCCAACATGTCAGGGGTACAAGAGGGCGGCATAAAGCCACAAGAAAAAACTGTCTTGAGGTAAAACGAATACACATAGGTATTGAGACAGCTCGTTGACACCGCAGCGAAGGCATTTCAAGACATGCAAGACGTTTAACATTGAATAAAGAAATCTTCACTAAGCGACATAAATGACTAAGAGGAGCCTGTGTCTCAAAGTAATCGTTATTAATATTTAAAGATTGGTGACAAACGTCTTACGTACCTAATTAGTAAAATGTATTGAATTCTTCATTATCCAAACTGTTACAAATTAGGACCTATAAATAACAACATAATTGGGCATTTAAATAATAATAGACAATATTAAACTATTCCAATAGCCAAAATGACATAAGTTGGGTCGTTAAAAAAACAATTTAGTATATTGTTTTGTAACAAGAACTGTGATTTCGTTTTGAAATCAGTAACTTTTTTCTTAGAGCGTACTCACATCTGAAACGAAACTATTCTACAACTGTTTAGTCTTGCTTGGATTCCCATAAGCTTATATAGAGATGCGCACACTACTCGATTTTTAGTTGTGCAACTAAGCAGTTGAATTGGCTGCGAAACAATCGACAATCGCTTAACAGTTGTGCGATAGTTTAGTTAAAGGTGTGCACCCGCTCTTACACTGTATTCTACACTAGTAGTTGCCCACAACGTTTAGTGCGGATTTAACGTGCTTCATATGCTACATGCCCGTTAAATTCCCGTCAAAGTCGGTCTAACCTTTCCGGATCTATGACCATATTAAATCAGATTCATTTATTTCTGACAACTTTATGAGTTGAACGAGGCCAAGGTTTGCCATTAGTTACCATGACTAAAACAAAAACCTTTCGAAACACATATTGTTGTATTAATCTGTCTTGATAACCTATATAAAATAAACTAACATGAATCGATATATTAATATGTGAACTGAAGATTTTATAGTTATTCTATAGTTAATGACATAATTAATTTTAATGTGGAAAAGATAACAAAAACATTAGAGAAAATTTTTATTTAAAAAAAATGTAGCTGATTATTTTGTTTTAACTAGTGCCAGTGACGTCATGTGTATTCTTTTAAACTACATCTGTGGCTTACTTCATCGAGATACATATTGGATATACGTACTACCAAACATCCAAACTCTAGCATATATTATATTTATGATTACGAACAAAAAGCAATCATCAATTTAATTTCGCAGTTATTTTATCGTATCAAAGTTATTAAATCCTTGTTTCAGAGATGTAAGATCGACTACAAACCTAATCAAAGCCTCTTTAGGTTCAGGACTTTTAGCTGGTCCCTTGGCGTTCGCGAACGCGGGATGGGGCGTCGGTATAGTCGGCACTATAATTATTGGCATCATCTGTGGACACTGTGTGCACATACTGGTAAACAACATTTTAAATATTATTATTTAATATTACATCAGGAAAATTGAGTCAGAAAATACTAGATTTTACCTTGAATTAATACAGCTTGGCAACTTGATTTTCAACGCAAAATTATCTCTTGATATTACTAAAATACATGATTTGCACCTGTAGGTATAAAACGTATTGATTTAAATCAAATGATTTTCTACTGTGTTTGCTGTGAAATCATTTTTAAAATTCGAACTATTTTTTCCAGGTAAAAACTTCACGAGGCTGTTGCAAATTGGAACGAAAACCTTTACTCGGTTACGCAGAGACCGCTGAAAGTGTATTTATAAATGGACCGAAAAAAATTAGACCTTTTGCGAATTTTGCCAAGTAAGTAGCTTCAGCTTTTTCTTTTTTTAATAACAAAAGACTAGCGGAAACAGTAATTAAGTAGCCAGTTGTTTACACATTAAAAGCGATATAAGATAGACATGGCATTTACAAACGAGATCTTTTACTTCATAAGAATGTAAAATGCGATCGTAATCAAATAAAAAAAAGGATATTAAAATTAAAAATGCAAATGTAAGTGTGATATTTAAGATAAGAGAGAGGAATGACGATAACATTTTGTGAAATTAAGCTGAGTGGTTTGGCCGCTTCCGAATTTGTTTGCAAAATATAAGACGATCTTAAAAATAAAAGACATATTAAAATGTCATAAACGCTATCGGAGCTGAGCAGACAGACATTTTTCTGAATCTATACTAATATAATAAAGCATAAACACACACTTCTTTGTTACCTAAGATATTAGCAATCACAGGATATTTTCAAATAACTCTTTTTTTAATAAAAGCCCTACACTTACGTCACGCTTTAGGCTATATATTTCACGCCATTAAACTTAGAGGGTAAATATTTTGGATAAAAACCCTAATGTGGGAATGAAACCATAAGTTGCTGCCAACAGCAAGGAAGCAAGATTGTCAAGGTTTGTCATGTCATGTCATTTTGACATTTGCTAATTTGACGAATGCAAACAAAAAAAATTTTTTCATAAATTCATGCGGATAAAGCCGCACGGGAACAGCTAGTAGACAATAAATTTTCTAAAATCTCAAAGAAAACTTATAAACAAACTAGCTGTTAACGTGCGGCTTCATCCGCATAGAATTATAAAAACTTTGTGTTATGTTTATATTTGTCATATTCTCAATTTCAAATTTCAAAATTACCTTTACCATAGTAATCTTTCTTCCGTAATATTGGCAGTTTGTAGTTTATGGTCCATTTCCCCACATGAAGGTATTTTTCTATGTTATTTACCCCCTAAGTTTAATAGCGTAAAAATGTATAGCCTAAAGCGTGTATACATAAGTATAAGTATACGAAGTTTAGAAATATTATCATGTGTATTTACATTACATTTACTTGAACCTCATTAGAGTACTAACTTAAATTATTTTAATCAAATCGTCTTTTGTTTCAGAATATTTAGTGAATTCGCTTTGGTCGCGACATATGTTGGTGTATGTTGTATTTACAGCGTGCTCATATCAGATTCTATTAAACAAGTGAGTTATCATATGTAATTACTTTTATTTGATTAATCAATAAATTAAATACAATTATTTAATGCATTAATTAATGTACCTAGAATAATTAATTAATGAAATTATAAATTACTTGTTATTAATTAATCTTTTCTTTGGTTTCAGCTGATCGATAGATATGTTCCGTCTGTAATTTTACCAGTAGAATATTACTGCCTTATCATTTTAGGTCCCATATGCGTACTCTGTCAGGTTAGATATCTAAAATGGCTTGCGGTATTCTCATTTCTGGCTAACATATTTCTTATGTTGACGTATTTGATCTGCTTGTACTATATCTTCGGCAGCGAAATCACTTTAGCCGATAAAAGGATAGCCGGCGATCCATGGAGGTTCCCAGCGTTTGTATCGTAAGTGAAATAATTTAATTATTGCGACCTTGTACCGTGTTTCTAAATATTTGAACAAAGGCCGGCAACGCATCTGTAGTTCCTTTGGTGTTACGGATGTCCATGGGCGTCGTTGACCACCTCGGTGTTCACGCGGCTCGTTTGCCCCTTTTATTATAAAAAAATGTTTGTTTTATATACGCAGCTACATTGTATATTTTTCATATTTGCACAAACAGCTCTTTAAATTAGGTTTGTAATAAACGGAAACATTAACATTTTAGATGTCTATGAATACTGCTCTTCCTTCTTCAATCCTATTCTTATAAAAAAATGAGAAGGGATGAGAACAATGAGGAGTGTATATTTTCTAAGAATAACTAATTATAACACATAAAAAATGAATATATTACATTTCTTCTAATGGATATAATCAACGTATCTGCTACTTATTAACATATTGCAGATGTGTATGGATAACGGAAAATCATATGGCTTCTTTATTTACCACTTTCTAATATAAAAAAAACGTCTATGTTTCAGGACTGTAATATTCGCAATGGAAGGCATAGGCGTTGTGATGCCGGTAGAGAACGCAATGAAGAAACCCCAGCACTTCCTCGGCTGTCCAAGCGTGCTCGTTGTCGCCATGACAGCTATCGTATTCTTCTATAGTACTCTCGGCTTATTCGGATACTTCAGATACGGAGATGTCCTTAGAGGATCGATTACATTAAATCTACCTATGGATGATTGGTAACTAAATTAAAGTGTATTATTTATAACACGTCACTGAGTCGGACAGTGACCGTCGCGACGCGATAGCGAATAAAGCCGGCATCCACTCACCCTGAAGAAGGACCCCCTACGGGTTCGAAACTGGTCGGTGCCTACACCGAAAGTTCCCACGTGAGTTTTAGCCGTGTTATAAATAATATAGTATAATGTCTCACGAAAGTTTTAATAAGTTAAATTAAAGTGGTTAATAAAGACGACCCTAAGTAAATATAAGTAACCATCTTATGATTTTAAAATCTACACTAAAGAATAGGAAACGATTTAACATCTTAGCGACAGTTAGGGCGTGTCCTACCAAATTGTAAACTGTCTGATAACAATCGAACGTTTAAAATATGTGATGGAAATGTCTGATATTGTTCTCTTGTCTGACAGTGACGTCATTTTAAGCTATTTGAGCCTCTATCTATATCTCTATCAGCCAGTGGTGGGATAGGCAAATGTGGGAAATCTAAAATAAAACTAATTTTGAGGTTATACTAAATACTTTTTGAGTTTGTTTAGTATAAATATGTAATCAAAACAACTAACTTCTATTTCAGGCCCGCAATTTGTGCCAAAGCTTTCATTGCTTTATCTATTTTCTTCACCTACCCACTTCAGTTCTACGTTGTGTTTGATATTTTCAAAAAACACACCGATCGATACATCAAAGACGATTATCGCAACGTGACCGAGGTGTTCGCCAGAATTGTGGGCGTTGGATTTTGTGGTAAGGACTTTTCCTACGAGCCTCCGCACGCTTTACCACTTTTTGGCAGATAGTTTCATCAGGCGCTTAATCAGTATGAACATGTATGGATGTGCACATTTTGTTTTACTCTTATATGTTTGTGACTTGAGAGTCCAACCCGATCAAATTATCGGCCCATTAACTTTTTACTCTACTAGTTTTCTGGTAACTTAATTTTTATCAGTCAATCCGTTCACGAATTCTTTTTTTAATTATTAAACCATTTTTATTTACATTTACAAAATAGTAAATGAAATTCAGAGAATAAAAATTAATGTCTTTATAAATGTTAATTTAAATTTAATCGCTACCTTACGACATACAAATCTTTATCGATACCGGTTTTTTGAATAGCTAGAATTATTTAATGACTGTAAAATTGAATATTAGACGTCAATAATCGTAGTTTGGTTAGATCTTGCTTACGTAAACGATATTTATTGATCTTTTTTTGTGACAAGGTTTAAAACAAAAACGTATATTGCCTACAGTAAAATGATAAGCGTTCAAGAAAGAGCTGTTTTTTTACTTTTAATTGCATTTTTATGGTTGATTAGACTTTGATTTCCAAAATATTAGATAAAAACTTTATAAAAATGAAGTATTTTCACAGACATAAGGTATCTCTCTAATGACTATCTTTTTTATTACCTTTTTTATTTGAGTATCACTTTTACTAGATTCAAAATAAACCAGTTCTCAAAATTACGATATATCAGTGTATATCTTATTAGTATGTAAATGATAAAAAAAACTTTCCCTCTCAATCAAAATGTTACGTTTACTTCCTTACGGTGGAACCGTTCCTAGCAATGATGTTAAAAATAATTAAAAACTGTGAAAACAACTGGAACATAGATGAGCAATTGTTTCTAAAGATTATAATTAAATACAGTAGTTGTCTGGTCCAGTAAGCAAAAAAAAGTTACTGAACATATTTCCTGGCAGACCTGATTGCAACAGCGTCACACCCGGATACAGCGTTACAAATATAAAGTTCGTGAGATAAGGCTTTCTTACCAAAATAGGTTTTAGCTCCCGTTGTTTTGGTACAAATACAAGCGCTATGATCAGCTGATTGAAAAATCACAACAGTTCAAAGTTCTATAATTGTTACAAAGCAACATTTGTTTTCAGTTGGAATCGGTATTGCCTTACCTTTACTGGAGCAGATTATAAACATCGTGGGTGCTTGCTTCTATTCGATACTCGGCCTCATAATTCCAGCCACTTTGGAGACGGTCTTCCGATGGGAGAAACTCGGCAAATTTAAATGGGTCCTATGGAAGAATTTGATAATTATATTATTCGGCTTTGGTACATTAATATCTGGTTGTACAGTCACCGTACTCGATATTATTGAAATATTAAAAAGAAAAACTGTCTAGAATTTAGAAATGAATCTCGTAAGCTTTAAGTGTATACCTTAAGGAAGTATAATTAAGCGTTACTTAAGACAAATATTGTGATAACATTATCTTAGTTTTCTATAACAACTGGAAACAGAAATTAATTTCCAATATACGAGTGCTCAGTGAAATATGAATACAGCTTACAAAGTGTAGACGTGATGTAAAGCATGGAAGATTTTAATTACATTTTTTTAACTTATTTTAGTAAGTTATAACTTATTTTAGATACAAGTTAAATAAAAATATAATAAAGAGGTTTTTCATTTTTTAATATTAGGACCCTACCTAGGTATTAAATAGACTGATGTATATAAAATTTATTTATTTGATCCTCAATATATGACGAGAAAACCGAATATTAACGAAGTAGTAAAGAAATCAAGTTTCTTATCGCTACACATGAAACCTCTTATCTTAACCTACGCAATGCTTAAGTAATAATTTTAGCAAACAACCTACCGGTTAAAATCTAAACTGTCGTATTGAATCTATAGGTATTCTTTAGTGTACTTCTACAATCTACACTTAGGACTTCCCTTATTAGCAAAGTATAAGGAATTTGGCGTTAATTTAGACTTCACCAAAACTTACCTTGTTCTAGGAACTTGTTAATGCAAATGTATGTAATTATCTATATTCAATTCCTTTGAAATAATTGACACTAATTCCTTATATTTTAAGTGGTAAGGATTATATTCGAAAGTATTACGTTTATGTAAACACTTACTTTTAATCCTTGCTGTTGACATGTACGCTACACAATGCTGACGTTTATCTTGTTCTACCTTCAACAGCCGCGATTAAAGTCATAAACATTATTCTATGTAAATTAATACTGATGTTGAAGTAAACTTGAGTACTGCAACACTTTTTAGGTATTTTATTTGATGTTACGTGTTTTAGTGTGCGTTTAGAAACAATTAGTAATCGTGTCTTGTGATGAAATAAAATGGAAATAAAAAAATCAACAGAACAGGAGTACAATCCTTTTGAACATCGGAATGTGAAGAAACCAAACTCGTAAGTTAGATAATAATTATAGTAAAAATTGTAGACTCTTTAATATTAAATTAGATATTGTCACTAAGCTTTTTGAACTTTATGAGTATAGACAGAAATAATTTACTTTGGACGAACTGACATCCTCACTTTTAACCAATATTCGTAGAAAACAGAAGATATAAATAGCTAGTTATTTACTTTGTAATTTCTATTTATTAATTTGAAACTATATATCATAGTGTACCCATATAAAACAATGCGTCCTGTTCTAATTAATAATGTAATCTTTGATCGACACTTTAGCAGGAATTGTATTTGCTACTTTTATAATTGTTATACAACCACACTTAACAATATTAGTTCGACATTTTTATTATCGACATTATTATTTTTAATTACTAGATTTTGGTTAATTTATTTGTATTTCCTTTAATTATTCCAAGTAAGGTCTAGGCTTGTGCTAGGATTATTATCTACGACAATAGTCAATCGGCCGGATTCGAACCCTCGAAAGCAATATCGTTAGTCCAGAACTGGCTATTGGTGCTTAATTTATATTTGAATATTTCAGAGATATAAGATCATTAGCAAATCTAATCAAAGCATCGCTAGGCTCGGGTCTACTCGCGATTCCTTTGGCGTTTGCTAACTCAGGATGGGCTCTGGGCATCGTTTGTACAGTCATCATAGCGTTTATTTGTTGCCACTGCGTTTATATTTTTGTAAGTATTGTGGTGAATTATATTATGAAGTAGTAGTAACTAATCATTCGTTATAGTTTTCTGTATGCTGATTGTAGTCAAAGGCAATAGAATTATTTCGGAAATACAACATTAAAAGTTGTTTAACAACTTAATATATAAAATGACTAGCTGTTCCCGTGCGGCTTCATTCGCACGAAATTATGAAAATTTTATATTATTGTTTACGTTTGTCAAATTATCAATAGCAAATGTCAAAATGACATGACATGTCAAACCTTGGCAATCTTGCTTCCTTGATGTTGGCAGCAACTGATGGTCTCTTTCCCACATTAGGGATTTTATCTAAAATATTTATCCCATAGTTTAATATATAGCCTAAAGCGTGACGTGAGTGTAGGGCTTTTTATTAAAAAAAGAATTATTCAAAAATATGCTGTAATTGCTGACATCTTAGGTAACAAAGAAGTGTGTGTTTACGCTTTATTATAATAGTATGGATACAAATCAATTGCCCCAGAAGACTATGACCCCTATCTATTGTTGAATTCAGCTATTTAGAGTAACAATGTTATTGTAACACGGCAATCAGGCATAATTATTTGATTGATTGGGTATTCTAGATAAATTTGAAAACTCCTAAATTCCTCTAATAACTTCTTACTATTACATCGGTTAAAATAATTAAATAATCATTCCCCAGGTGCAGACATCGCATGATTGTTGTCGTGTTGTGAGAAAGCCTTTGCTGGGATATGCTGAAACTTGTAAAGTCGCTTTCGAAGTTGGTCCGAAACAAATTCGACCGTACGCTAATTGGGCGAGGTAATCCATTGGTTAAATTGTAATTTATATAAAAAAGTTAGTATAAAAAAGTAATGAGAACTCGGAATTTATCAGTAGCAGACAGCATTTTTTCTTTATAATGGAAACATCGTTTTATATTTTTGACATGTAATTATTAAGATTTTTAGTAAAGCCAAAGTCTGAATATTCAAAGAGTGATATGACGTATGTAAATATACGTTGCTAATAATAAAACGTTTGAATTAAAATTAATTCAATAAAGATGAATATTTATCTTAATCGATGTTTTTTCAGCATATTTGCGGAGTTTTCATTGGTGTTTACGTATGTCGGAGTTTGTTGTATATTTACGGTACTTATTGCAGATTCCATTAAACAAGTATGTATAAATCCGAATTATAAAATTGTTTATTAAAGATTTATTTAGATGGTTGATACATGGAGTAAAAAGTTTTATAATTGAACTAGCTTTCGTCCGCGACTCCGTCCGCGTGGCATAAAAAAAAACAAAAAAGAATAGCCTATGTTTTCTTTCAGACTATCCTCTATGTCTATGCCAAATTTCATCGAAATCCGTTCAGCCGTTTAGGCTACAAACTTTAACAAACATCCATCTATCCATCCATCTAAACTTTCGCATTTATAATATTAGTGTGATTATTGATTCTATATGACTCTGTAAAAGAATAAATATAACGAAGTTTTTTTTTCAGATTTTCGACCGATACGTCACAACCGTAGACTTGCCTGTAGAATATTATTGTTTGATTATACTCGTTCCATTATGTTTGATGTGCCAAATCAGATATCTAAAATGGTTAGCGCCTTTCTCTTTGCTAGCCAACATTTTGCTAATCGCCACATTTGCTATTTGCTTGTACTATATATTCAAAGATGAAATAAACTTTGCTGATAAGAAACTAGTCGGAGATGGCGCCAGATTTCCTGCGTTTCTCTCGTAAGTAAACATAAAAAAAAATTACTAACACTTATTCTTATCTTGTTAGATTGACAGATCTTTGAAGTAAATAATAGCGCCTGATAAAATGTCATATTAAGCTATTGCTATTTGCACAAGCATTAGGAATGTCGTCATAATACGAAAAGAACTTTAAAAGTGTAATATTAGATAGATAGCGTAATAATGTATTGTGACTTAATTAAATTTATTGTAATTTTCATAACCTTATTTCATGCATTATCTCAATTATTCAAAGTATGCAATAAATTAGAATAACATTTATGAAAATTATACTTCATATCTTGGATTCGCTTTCGCAATAATTATGTTAAATTATATCAACTGTCTAGTTAAGTTTCCAGTCATTTATTATTATTTAATAGATTACTATTAAACCTGTTTTAATTCGCTTACATCTAATTACTGTAAAACCTTTTGCCTTTATTCTTACTGAATATCATTGGAACCATTGCTAATGTCCTCAATATTGATAGTATTTTTAACATTTTGACAGTAAAATACTAAAGATTCACACATTTGTTTACAGTACAGTAATTTTCGCAATGGAAGGCATGGGTGTAGTGATGCCAGTAGAGAATTCAATGAAGAAACCTCAACACTTCCTCGGCTGTCCTGGAGTGTTGGTCATTGCTATGACACTCATCATGTTGTTGTACACTACATTGGGTTTGTTCGGATACTTCAGATATGGCGATGCTCTCAGAGGATCAATCACATTGAATCTACCTATTGATGATTGGTAATAATTAAGAGATAATATTCCTTTCATAACTTTAAAATATTTTTAATTATTGTTAAGTAATAAGTTTGTGGAAGTTAGTAGAAATAGTTGTATTACTATTTAAATTATTTACTATTTCTTAAACATTCCAACTAAGCTGTAAACTTGTGTTAAGATAAAGTTCTCGACAATAGTCGCCATCTATATTATATTTATGTCCTTAACTATGAGTTTTTTGGCGTTTCACGGTTTTCAATTTTTATTATGTATTCTTACTGATTTTAAATTATTATTTCACAGGCCTGCAATTTGTGCGAAGGTGTTTATAGCGCTGTCTATTCTGTTCACGTACCCACTGCACTTCTACGTGGTTTTGGATATATTTACAAAGTACACGGAGCCTCATATAAAAGAGAATTACAGGTCGATCACACAAGTGGTTGCAAGGATTGCTGTTGTCTGCTTTTCAGGTATAAATCATACTTAGCTGATAAGTTTCCACTTCTCGAAACTTGTTAAATAACATACAGTCATGGCTTTCGCTCCTTGATATAATAATTCAAAACAAATGAAGGAAAGAAATGCTATTAACCACTGGCCTGTTTAAATAGACAGGGTATAAGAATGATGCCTTTTTTGAGCAGATGGTTGCATTTGGTGACGGTGGTGTGGATTCAAACCAATATTAGAGTTAAATTAACTGTCAATAACAACAACAAGCGTGATTAACTCGGAACGGAGTAAAAGTTTTAATTACCAAATGATGACCTATCTACTTATAGAGATCAGTGTTATATACATTTCAATTGTTTTAAAAAATCAATGTTTTATTGGTTTTTAATGGTTAATTCTTTCAGGTGGTATAGGTATAGCGTTACCAATGTTGGAGCAGATTATCAACATCGTTGGAGCATTTTTCTATTCCATTCTCGGTTTGATTATACCTGGCATCATTGAGACGGTCTTCCGATGGGAGAACCTTGGGAAATACAACTGGATATTATGGAAGAACATTTTGATAGTTCTGTTCGGATTAGGCAGTTTAGTTTCAGGCTGCACTGTTACTGTATTTGATATAATCGAAAAACTTAATAGTAAAATGGAATAAAACAACATTTGTGAACTATTAAACGTTTTATTACAACGCCTACATTTTTCAGCATTTCGGTAAAAAAACAAAAGGTGCTTAGCTTTAATATCTTTCCATCGAATTAATAGACAAAAAAATCTATTCAGGCCGTTATTTTTTTATGTGTAATCTACATTCTACGTCATGAATTTATACCAGAAACATACACATAAGATTTTAAATATTAAAGTTGCGATGCTAAATTGCTATTGAAAAATACTAGGCGTCTTTGAATTTAAAATGTATTTTCTAAAGACAAGTTAAGACACACAATGATTTAAATTAGAACAATTTGTGTGAAATCAAGAACTCAACTAGTAGCAAAAACTATGAAACAGACTAGTAACTTAAATACATATTTAACATACCTTTAAAACACAAGATTAACTTAGAAACGCTTGTCATATTTGTGTCGGGCTAATTAATCATACCACCAGGATGCAAGCAACTTGTCCTGCAATACGATGTTATCTGGAAAATTTGATAAGTTGTTTGAAATAGCGTTTGAAAAGCGCACGAAGGCTAACGAGCAAGAACTGCAATTAATTATTTGCCCGACTTCCAGCACGGAATGTGAAAATGGGAACGCATACCAATAACCATAAATACTACATTAATACTAGTGGAACATAATAAAAAAATAAACGATTAAACAGAAGTTTATTTCTTTAATTTGTATCTACCGGTACTATTATTACTGTACCAATTTCTATATTAACTTTATCTACTTCTCTAGCTGTTGCTTGCGACTTCGTCCGTGTGAAGTTAAAAAATAACAATTAAAAATAGAGCCTGTGTTTCTCACCGATAACGTAGCTTTTTGATGATGAAAGAATTTTTGAAATCGGCCCTGTATTTTTTAATTTATTCAATACACAAAAATACAATTCTTTCCTCTTTATAACATTTGTATAGATAATAAGAAAATGAAATAAAACAAGAAGTAATGAATCATTCAATCAATTTTAACATTTAAGTAGTCCCAATTCTAAAAAAACGTAACATTCAATAATGTACCGAAACTTGAGACATTAAGTCACCATTTTGCATAATTTAAATATTTCCCATCGTAGTATTCAAACAGCAATAAATAATTACACTCAAGATTCATTGAGATTCATTTACAAACAGTGTTGAGTCATGTAAATCAATACCGAGACAATTGCGTCTTTCTTTCAAACACATTACATAATTCTAGCTAGACCAGTGGAACTTAACCCAGTGACCGTTAAATCGGCAATAACAGTCCTGGTAAGAAAGACGTTAAAAAGTGTCTGCTTGTTATTGTTGTGTCTATTTTTCTGTAAACTTTTAACTTTATCTCCCTCTGTTTTTTCTTCGAAGTTTTCTCTAAAACCAAAACAGGACTTTCTCTGAAATTAAAAGTTTGTAAGTCCTCCATATTAGTAAATTAATTCTACGTGATAGGTTATCTCATCATCAACTTACCCTTATCCCTACGGAGGGTGGACACAGTATGTGCTGCTTGTCCATTTCTATCACCCGTTATATCTGCATCCACTCCCTTCTTAAGCATATCCTCTTTCACACAATTCATCCTTATTTTCGGTCTTGCTCTATTTTTGTAGCCATCCACATTCAATCTTAACACTGTCTGGTTTATATTCTCATCGTCTCGTCGCGTAACATGTCCAAACGACGGTAATATTTTGCTTCTCATGTCACTGGCGCTACTTTCAAGTTATATGTATCAATCTATGTAACTATTATTATAATAACTCCTAATAGATTCATATAGGTTATATAAAATAGCGATTTTTTTTGCCAATAAGTAATTTTCTTGTTATTTAATAATTTTTTTAGCTAAGAGATTATGCTATTCTTTACTGTGACGGCACAGCTATACTGTAAGAACATGATTATTTCAATAAAATCTTCATACCTTTTTGCAAGGTATAATTCGCTCAACGTAATTAATACCTAAATTCATACATCATGCCAACTATGAGATCATTGCAACATACCTGTTTTAGTTACCAGGAAAATGTTTTGTTATTAGAAAAAAAAATCTACCTGTATCTCAATATTTCCTTATACAGGATGTAAACATCAATCATACTAGCGACATAATAATTCCAATCAATCTACTCGCATAGTCCTTACATTTATATATTCTACAATTTAAAGCATCTAACGGTGCGTTAAAACTGCGGTGTAATAACATATTTGACAATGAGCATTTATGCAGTCGTGTTACGGAAAACCAACGAACTACTCATTACGAACGTTACACCTCGTAACATCTGTCTGAACGTATCCAATGCATCATATTTAACACAGTGTAGATTATTTGCTTAATAAAAAACAAAAAAATAAACTTGAGGAACATAAAGGCAATAAGAAAAACAAAAGTGGTTTATTTTCTTTTATTTATACAAGTAAATCCGGTTTCTTTTGTGGATATTCCACAAATGTATTTTGTGTAAATTCTGCCACTAAAGTAAAACCGTCGCTTATTTATAAAAAGGATTTTCCTGTTTTTTCATACACTTTCTAATTATACATAGTGTAATCAATCACCAATGTCCTTCGGGACTTGCCAGCGTTTATCAACATTTATAAACTTATCGCTATACTTAACACCAGGGAAACCGAGACGGGAAAATCAATTATAAATTCTTGGCGTTGAATAAACAGATCTCATCAACGTGAATCTTATTCTGGGGATACTTGCCAAAACGCCGTCTGAGACGCCACTCGTGTTAAACGATACATAACATATTTATACGACGGTCGGAGCATAGTCAGATTCACACAGTACGAAAGATGTCGTGCGCGCGCGCAATACTTTGTAAATAATAACAAACAAATGAGAAAGTAGCACTAATTAGTGATATACTAAGAAACTAAAAATGGCCAACAGCTACAATATGAAGGAGTTCAGTTCTACGTAAGTATTTTTTTTTATTTATTCAATTAGTGACGGTGATTGGAAATCATCAACAGACGTACAGTGTGAAATATCTGGTTGATTTTAGTGAAAAAATAATTTGTTTACATTTGTTATGTATTTCATGTGCAGTGATAAACAAATGTGAGTTTAAAGCCAATATTTTAATAATTATTAATGAATAAGTTTCAATTATCCTAAGTTAGAACAAAACAATGTTAATACTTGTTTGATTTTTTTAGTAGAAACGAACTTGGTAATACGAAAAATGTATCTTATTATTCTATATTAAATTTATCATATTAACTACTATCCACTATAAGTAAATTTTTTATTTTTGTTTTTAAAGTGTTCATAGATTTTTTCTACGTTGACGTATTTTTAACCTTGTAATCAACAACAGTTGTTCAATGAACGACAAACACTTCTTAAAACACGACCTACTCAAATGTATTTATAAACAGAAAACATTTAGCTTTAAGGTTAAGCTTGTGTTTATTTTTAAACGGAAAACTACGCGTTAATTAAATTTACTAAATACATCTTGATACAAAATAATCAAACTCCGCCTGATCCTATCTTTGAATAAATATAAAAATACATTTATATTTGAACTAGTTGTTGCTCGCGACTTCGTCTGTGCGAAATTAAAAAAATATAGCCTACTCACTGATGATATAACTAATTATTGTTGAAGGATATTTAGAAATCGGCCCAGTAGTTTTTTTAATTTGTTTCAATGTATACAAAAATACAGAAATACAAATCTCTCCTCTTTTTAAAATCAGTATAGATTACCGACATATATATGCATCAAAAACATGATTACGTTATATTTGAGGATGTATTACTAACTTTTAATCAACCTGGGGATAAACTTTATGTAGAAATAAAAAAACTCTGGCTCAAAATTTCCTTTGTAATATAAAATAAATATCGTACATGCTTTAAAATAATTACGAACACGTGATCTGATGACCATACACCTTGCGTTTCTGAGAAGTCCAAAAACCGGTTAAAGCACACGAAAAGCATAAAAAAAATCTCTCGCAAATAATGCGGACGACATGGCAACGACGTAATTTATAAAATCGTTACGTGGGAAGCGGATACGTCAGTCTGCAGCGAACCTGTGTAGTTACCACCATAAAAGAGCATACAACAGGTTCTTGGGCATGTCTGACATGACACTAAGGTCACGCATTATAACAAAGACTATCAAGACAATCACATTATAGACCAGACAATCTTGTAAACATTAGGTAAAAAAATTCTAGTTTAGTTTCATGTTTGTAGGGAATTTCGATTGATCGTTTTATAGAAGAACGTCACTGAGCAAGGCGGCTACCATTTATATTATATAGCTGGTCCCGTGCGACTTCACCCGCATAAAATTATGAAAGTTTCATTTTATTGTTTACATGTGTCAATTTATCAATTGCAAATGTCAAAATGACATGCTGACAAATCATGGCAACCTCGCTTCCTTGATGTTGGCAGCAACTTATAACTTATGGTCTCTTTCCCACATTAAGTTGTTTATTCCAAATATTTACTCCCCAAGTTTAATGTCGTGAATATATAGCTTAAAGCGTCCCGTAAGTGTAGGGCTTTTTCTTAAAAAAAGAATTATTTAAAAATGTTGTAATTGCTGACATCTTAGGCAAAAAAGAAATGTGTGTTTACGCTTTATTATTATAGTATAGATTATTCGAATCGAAGATCAGCTGGCCTCCCCTCACCCAGCTCATCTTCACTACCCCTCACTTCTTACATCTTCATCTTCCCAACCCTTCACTGCCTCTGGCAATCAATTTAGCTCTCTTTAGCTACACCTACAGTAAATACAGGATACAATCCAAAAGAGTGATTCAAAATTTTCTTGCTTTTAATATTTAATTGACATTTAATCATACTACGATATTGACCTTGTAGCTTCATTGACATTATTGAAGTATCATATAAATAGGCCACTGATGCTGAAAAGATGTCATTGAAAGACGGTTATTACTTATCTTTGATTCAAGGCTGAATTTAGCAACAGCGACATCTTAATTAGTACGAATGTGAACTGCGAATAAAACATAATTTGTATTCAAAACTTATCGGAGAGCTAAAAAAATGCATGCGAAACTGGAGGTAACAACTAATATGGAATATAAATATTAACGATTTCATCATAATAATCAAATTCATTGCAAATAATAGTAATCAAAAGTTTGTTAAACTGACGAATTCAGTTTTAACTCGAGCCACATTCACGACTTAGTATAGCGTAACTTTTTAATATAAAAATCTTGTGACTTTAATTTAGCTAAAAACTGGTATCATTACCTTAAGAGAATCTAGATTTAAATCATCATGCAGGTCTTCAAACAAGCTTTATAAATATCAACATTTATGACACGACATAATTGATTTAATCTTTGAATCTCAGGCTTTACTTCAGCTCACCGCATATTATTACATCGTGACATTGCACGTACGATTATAGTGTTTTATTACTGCGTCGATTTACATTCATAATCTTTAAAGGAGATTTACTACACCACTGAAATCTCATATATTTATTCTGGCCTATGTTTCACGATCGCTCCTAATTTTAGCATATATTTTGAATTATAAAAAACATTAACCGTAATTGTACAGCTATATTCTATCTTTAGATGTATAGATAATTTTTTGTTAGAGTTTGTAGCTTTAACGTCTAAACGGATTTTGTTGAAATTTGGTATAGATGTAGAGGATAGTTTGGAAGAGCACATAGGCTACTCGAATTTTTTTTTAATTCAACGGGAACGGAATTGCGGCCGAAAGCTAGTTAATAAAATTAACAAAAAGTATAATATAATCTGGAAGAACACATAGTTGCTAAGTAACAGCATAGTTCTGAGTTTAACCGATCAAACCATGATTTATAAATAAAAATTTATATTTTAATAGACCTTTATATTTGGTTTTTGTTTTTAATGTTGAAATAGTTGTTATAAAATCTATTAAGTAATAAGCTACTGACAAAAAGTATTTTACGTAACAACCTGACTTAAAATGTAGCACAACTTGTCTAGATTAAATATACAAGTCACAAGTAAATGTCTTAAACCAGATTACATTCTAAGTGTAAATCTAGTTCTTAGTATGTACTTGCTAATGTAATAGGTACTATAAATTTGGATTCGCATCACGCTTTGTCAAATTCCGTTACATGACAGAGAAGAAAGATAGCTGTAGAAAGAGACACACACTTGTGTATGTTTGTAAACAAACACGGCAATATTTTTGGTTTACTAATAAAAAAATGTGTAAAAACATCTGATGCGATAAGAGATTTACTATACGAGTATACGTCTAGAAATTTGATTTTATGAGCTTGTAAAACATTTGTCTATAGCCACAGAGCGTAACTAATGATGTGTTTATAATCGTACCGAGGTATTTTCACACAACATAAATACTATATTCTTAGTGTTAGTTTTATTGCTTGCCACTATGTTGCTTCTAATTAAAAAATAGAAAACGTATTTGATTTAAATAGTGACTGTACACCGTCACTTCTTAACTCGTGATCGGTTTTTATTGTCTTTATCTTAAATGCTGTGCTAATATTACGATAATTGGAGACGAATGTTTGTCTTCAAAAAGATCATTAAAACTAAAAAGCAGGTTTATGAAGTAAGGCATTTACAACACGGTATTGTCATTTTTTATCATCTTCCGTCGTGTTATTATTCCTAACCGAAAAAAAAAATTAAAAATCTTGTATCTATACTTGTGTACCATCTGATATCTAGATAAGAATAATCCTGTAAATATGCTAATTTCCGCAATAAAAATCTTTACATGGCAATTATTCTAAATTCTCTTAAATCACAATTACTTCTTGTATAGCTAGACGTATAAGAACGTTACATTATATTTATTTTAGTTACGGCCCTGTGTAGACGACCTTAGGAAAATATCTATGGTACTAACATCAGTAGAATGTGTGTCATTGTCACTTCAAAAAAACAAAAAAAACATTTCTTTTGCCCTTGACAGATAACATAATTATTTAAACCACTATAATGTATATTTAACAGTGGTAGTGCCCGCTTTAACATCTTAGCACGAATGGGCCGGCACGCCCGGTGTAATACCACAACCACACAGAACATAGGCGTGAAATGGAAGCAATTCCATGTTTCGACTGATGAATGTGGTGCCGGAGGTCTAATTTAAATCCCTTTCTCTTTACCACCCTTTTCTTATAAGGAGAGGTTGGGAAGGGGAAGCGGGAACGGTGGATGAGGTGCATAGGAAGGGGAAATGTCATCTTTATGTGCGTCTCCTCCTCCGTCGTATAATGGTAGGCGGTCGATTCGCCATTTTGGCGGTTTCAGGTGGCCGCTTGCTCTTTTGCCACCTTATGTTATAAATAAAATATATATTACATTTTATTGTAAGAGAAAGTATAAATAAAATAATTGCTATTTTTAGTCGTACGGGAATCTTACTATAAAATATTGTATTTTTACTTACTAATTGTATGATTTAACCTTAGCTTAGGTAAATAACTTGAACTTCCTTAATTAAGTCACGACTGATGACTTCATAAGAAAAACACGGTTTATCTAAATATCAGAGCCATTTATAGTGTATGCGTTGATTTATCTTTATTATTTTAAAGCACTTTTATCTGCAACATTTTGAAATTACGTTAATATTTATATATTAACGTAATATTTCGGCAATGAAAAACAACTATAATATTTTTTTACTTGAACGGTGGTAAACGTTAAAGAAATAGCGGCCCATGAAAAGCTCAATCCCACAGTCCCATGAGTATAAGATTATCATTATAAAATATCACAATTTCTATTAGTTATTTAAAGTCCGTTGATTTGTAGTTCACTGTATGTACTACTCTCCAGTCACGTATTTTTTTATTATCTGATATAATATGATAAAAAGCCATTGGTGCAAAAATGTTTCGTAATTTATCGGTTGCCGTTCGATTTTGA